TCTCTCTCTCTCTCTCTCTCTCTCTCTCTCTCTCTCTCTCTCGCTCTCTCTTACTCTCTATTCTCCGCCGAGCGTCGGCGCGTGGCTGTATAATTTGAGCGCACACTTTGCTCCACATCGGCCTCACCTCTGGGAGGTCTTTGGTCCCCCCCTCTCCCCCCCCCCCTAACTGCGCTGCAGGTACACCGTTCGATAAGTAGCACTAATACTCTTCGCCTCCCTCTCCCTCTCTCTAGCACCATCCGCGCGCACGTGGCGATATTGAAGCAGAACATTTTAAGCGCTATTGACACGGGTGTACCTCACCTCAAAAGTTTGCTGGCTCCCTGACGGAGTGGTCCGTGGAAAGGAAGCCGCCCCTCAATAGAGCGGTAGCGAGCTCGCAGCAGACGCCCGCGAAAGAGCATGAGGGGTGCTTGCGCGTGGGCACCGTCAAACGCTTGCTTCTTCTGCGTAAGAACTTGTATTGTATTGCGCCACACTTTTAACTTTTTAATAGAAAATCTGCCTGGTAACTACTAAAATTTTGTGCCGTTGTATATCAAGAAATTATTTAGTATACTAAAACAATCCTTTGGTATTACTTAACGTTTTCCTAGTATTACAAGTACGGTACTTGATTACGGATTACGGAAATTTTCTATGAAAAAGAAGTTTCGAGTGCAATCAGCCGCTTATGCGGTATGGTGCAGCCCCGGTGCAGCCCGCACACAACCGCCACGCCGCCGCCCACGCTCCTCGGCGCCAGGCCTCACTTGGGTACGGAATGCTATTTGTTGCACAGCACTCGATATTTCGATGATCGATGATCGAGCGCGGGGGTCAATACGACCGATAAATCAGCTCGGGACGGAGACTGGGGGGTGGAACGGAGTGGAATCTGCAAAGCGCACCACACTCCGCAAACAGAACGTGCCCCCGGGACTCAAAGCTTACTCTCGGGAAAACTAAAAGCGAGGAGGAAAATAAAACCACCCACATACACACACGTAGAAGAGTGTGTGTGTGTGTGTGTGTTTGTGTGTGTGGTTTTTTTTTTACCGATTTAAATGCTAATCAGAATGCAGAATGCCAGAATTCCAACAGAACACAACAACGGGGCGCAATTTGGATGCTGCATCGATGAGCGTCGCCTGGCCTATAATGCCGGGGTGATGGTCCAATGTACCAGACCGATAATTGGTTTGAGTTATGCCGACGCCTACGTTTGGGTCCGTCTGTGTGAAATAAATTAAGCACATGGTAAAATTAATTAAAATGCTACTAAAATTTCCGAAGAAAAACAAACTGTGTAGCATAGAGCCAAAACGGCATAGTTCTTTTACATACAGAAAACAGGGGGAAAATCCGAAATGAAAAATACAAACAAACAAACACAAGTACAAAGAATTTTACGTTTTGACAACAAGGGTATTATTTGGGTTGGTGTGTTAGGGAAAGACCCCCTCCCCAAACCTCTCTGTGTGTATTTGTGTACCTTACTGATTACACCGTGCCATTCCCATCAAGGGAAAGGCAGATGGACGGACAGACAGGCGGACGTGTCGGCTCGACCGAATCGGGCGGTGGCGGTGAGGGGTTGGGTTTCACTGTTCCCTCCCTCTGCCGAGAGCCCGCGGAAATTGATGAGCTTTACGAACCGCCCGTCCCCTCCCGCCTCTCTCGGCGCAAACAGACTGTCAGCTGTTATAAAGTCACGCTTTGCGATTCGCAGCAAGTTTTGTTCTATTTTTATTTTTCAGGTTCGGCTTTTGCTTATGTCGAGCAGGAAATGAATGCTCGTTACATCCTACTTCGACATGATAACTCAAAGCCACGTCGTTGCTCCCATTGTAAATTGTAAATTGCTGCAAATGTATGCTATTTGAGACGCTTTTGTGGTGGAGAAGAATATCAAGGAAAATCATACTGGTATCCGCACAGTTCAAAGCTTCCTTTTTCGTCCGTCACGAAGTTTTGTCTATCGCGAAATAAAACATAAAGTCCAGCAGAATTGTGTGCGCCTTTTATTGCAAGTGCCTCACTCTGTTGGTGTTCCCGCAGATGTCGGAGCACGCCAAGATGATGCCCCGCTCTCCGGGGGGGCCCTCGCCCTCGCCCCGCAAGCCCGTGGACACGGCGTGCTGCGGCGCGTCCTTCCTCGCCGAGTTCTTCCACATGTTCAACCTCGTCTTCCTGGTGAGCGACAGGCCGGCCCGGCCGAGCGGCTGATAGCGCCTGCGAACCTCTGGGTAGGCAACCCCGCCACGCTCGCGTGCCCGACCCGGAGGCCCACGCTGCGGGCGCTCGGGGGTGCCCCCCACTCCCCCCCCCCTCTCTCTCTCGCATCAAAACGGGAATATTTTTATATTTTTTGACATTCTATATTTTGAGCGGCATGAGTAATCATTGCGCGCAGAGGTCTCCCTCACCGCGGCCGCACCCGCACTGGTATTTTTGTACTTCCGGATGCCTAAGGCCGGGCGCGCTAGTCATCGTGAACCCCCATGCAGCCCAATCCGCCTATCCCCCTCTCCTCCAACCGCTCCGTTTAAAATGACATATTCTTTGGTGGCACTGCCGCTATTGCGTCCGGGGCTATAAGACGCCATGAGTCCTCCCTGAGCTTGGCTGACATAAGTGCGTGTCTGTGTGTGGCTCGCTCGCAGTGCTGCACGCTAGCTGCCAACGTCCAATCCATCATGTCCCCAAACACGCACCATCATGCCTCTCTCTCCCCCCCCCCCCTCTCTCTCTCTCTCTCTCTCTCTCTCTCTCTCTCTCTCTCTCTCTCTCTCTCTCTCTCAGCACTTCCTCCCTCTGTCTCTCTCCCTCCTCTCGGCGCCCTTTCAGCACAAATCCCCCCCCCCTTCCTTATGACAATATATCCACCACAATCTCCTATTTCTTCCTTTCTCCGTTTCTCTGTTTCATATCCCCCCTCCCCCTCGTCCAGAATCAAGTTTCCTTCCGTAAATATAAAATCAAAATCGCACGCAGAAGCCTAATGCCGCACACACGCACGCACGCACGCGCTGTCGCTGCGGCACGAGCGCCGTGATGAGGGCACAGAGGGAGAGGGGGGACCACCTCGGAGAAGAAGGAGGAGGGACGGATGAGAAGAGACGGGAGGGAGAGAGTGCGTGAACTAAGCGGCCGCTGCCCTGCATTTATTCGATCCGCTCCGGAAGAAGTCGAAGCTAAAGCGGTTAATTACGACCCGTGTACATATACATTTATAAGTCACGCGAAGCTGTTCGATGCAGAGAGAGAGAGAGAGAGAGAGAGAGAGAGAGAGGTATCTGACATTTATTCTTACTTCCACCAAGACCTCACAGAAGCAAAATAGATTCGTGTGGCCGGCCTCGTGATCCTTAGCGCATACGCTAAAATGTCATGATGAAATGTTATTCTTCAGCTACTATGGATTGTTGCACGCACGCCACTCACTATTTTGCCTTCTTATGAATGTGACACAAAGTTCCTGCTAACACCAATTTTCACTCGTTTTTTGGGTATGAGATTTGTTTGAAACATTGTTTAATTTCCATGCAGCTGGGCGGGTTGGCCGTGCTCGGCGTCGGAGTGTGGACCATATCGGACCACCTGGCGTACGCACCGCTACTCAGCACCGTCACCTACGCCGAGTGCGCCTGGGTGCTCGCCCTCGCCGGCGTCCTGGTCGTGGTCACCGCCGTCCTGGGCTGCGTGGGTGTCTGGCGCCGGAACCGCTGCCTCCTGCTGGGGGTGAGTCTGTCGAGGAAAATCCAGCACTTGTTCTTCTTGGGGATCGTCTAGAATGTTTAGCGTCTCTCAGATGCATGCTATCATTTGGCAAATTATGAGAGGTCGGCGCCTGCGATACTACGGGTAGGCCACCCCGCAGTACACGTAAGCACTACAGGCAAGATTTTGCCTACCTACAAGGCGCTATAAGACCTTTGCGTTGGCTGTGCAGCAGATGACGGTCGCCCTTTTTGTGAAGGAACGAGTTTATTCCGCGGTTTATTCCTTGATAAATTAATTTTGTGTTGTACCTCATACTTCCCCCCCTTGTTTTGTTGGGTTTTTTTTGTTTGTTTTTAACAACGAATATAAGATCCTGAATCTAAGGGTGTATGGTTTTACACACAGACAGGGGACCCCATTTTTTCCTCAAACTTTCTTACTACATGGCTCAGCGTACCAAAGACTATCCATACAACAGCAACAACAAAAAAAAAGACGTATGCACAGCCCATCAACGGCCTGGGGCCCTCCCCCACACGGGGCTGGTCTTCCACCACGCCTGTGTGCTTACCGACGGAGAAAGAGAATGCCAAAGGAAGGGGATGACCCCCTCCCCTCCCTTTACGCCCGGCTGCCCCCTCCCCCCTCTAGACAGGAGGGGGAGCGAAACAAAGAAAACTAATCAGAACGACACGAAAGAGCGAGTGAGGTGGACAACGATAAAGGACCGGGGACAGGGGCGGTGATTATACCCGGGGTGACAAGGATGTCTGGGGGAGGGAGGGGGGGGGATCCCGACGCATTGTTCTGCCGCTGTTCGTCCGGCCGCCGGGGAGGTAGGCCACCCATTTGACGCACCCCTCCCCCTGTTCCTCGTTGCAGTACACGTTCCTGCTCCTGCTCATCTTTCTCCTGGAGGCCATGGTGGGGGTGCTGGCGTACGTCTACAAGGAGAACGTGGAGACGGAGCTCGCCGTCAACCTCAACAGGACCTTCATGGACTTCTACAGCGTGGATGCGGCCAAGACGGAGGCCATCGACCGCATGCAGAGAGAGGTAAGGGGTCGGAGCCGTGGCATGCTGGTATGGTCTGACTGTCGCTGGCGTGAAGACCCGCTAACGCTTCAGTGGAGTCCGATCCGGACGCTTTACAAGTATACCTACAGGTACCCACAGGAGGTAGCCCCCGCGAGCCCGCATTGTGTTAGCCGCCCAGCACCGCACCGCTGCAGCTCGAGTTTACACCTCCTATCATCCTGACGCCATATTCTCCTTGTGCTTCAGTACAAGTGCTGCGGCGCCCAGACGTATGAGGAGTGGCGGCTCTCGGCCTGGATGAAGAGCTCGGCTAGAGACAAGCGCTCCAAGGTGCCCAACAGCTGCTGCAAGACGGAGACGTCCTCGAGCGGCGCGCCGTGCGGCGCCTCGGACCACCCCAGCAACATCCCGCACACGGTGAGCGCGCGCCCCCACTTGCTTTCCCCACCATTAAAACTACAATGTTTTATAAACGGAAACTTTCTAGTGGAAACAAGAAAACTTTCATTGAAAATTTTCACTCACATTTTAGTGTGTTTTTTGTTGTTGTTTTTTTTTTTTCAAATTTAAGACAAATTGTATCATGGATGAAAATCATGAAAAGTTACATGTGTTCGTCTATTTTTTCTGTTTACAAATTACCAGCCCCCTTTTCTCTTCCTGTGTGTACTTAGTGTGCTAATTGCTCCCTCCTTACCCCCTCCTGCCTCCAGGGCTGCTTCCACCGGCTGCTAGAGGAGCTGCGGCGGCAGCTCGAGGTGCTGGGCGCGGTGGGGCTTGGGCTGAGCGTCATCCAGGTGTTCGGCATGCTGCTGTCGTGCGCGCTCTACATCAAGCTGCGCGGGCTGGTGGGCGGCGCCGGCGACTGATGGCGGGGGGCGGGTGGCCGGGGCGACATGCTGCTCACGGCGCGCTCGCCCGCCACGCCCGCCCTCGCCGCCCTGGTGCCGTCCTCGTCCGAGTCTGACACGACCGAGTCGACGAGCACCATGTCGGAGCAGCCGACGCCCACCATGCGGACGCTGCGGCCTCGCACGCCCACCGTGGCCTGCCACGCCAATTGGTACGGCGTGGACACCTAGCAGTGGAGCCCGGGGGCGGCGCCGCCCCCGGCCAGCCCGCAGGGCCCCCCGCAGCGCCGCCGCTCGCTGGGTGGCACGCCGCCCCCGCCGCCGCCGCCCATGCCCGCCCCCACGCCGCCCGGATGGCCTGGCTCCGACGTGCTGCTGTGGCCGGGAGGCGCCGGCAGCTCCGACTTCGACGACCTGCACGCGCAGCTCGGCCACCGGATGACGTCGTCGGCGTCCTCCAGCCCTGTGCGTGGCTACGCCGGCCACCAGGGCTACGCGAGCTACGCGCCCAGCACGAGACGGGCCTCGCCGCCGCGACCCCCGGCCATGCCGCCCCCGGTGCCCTCCGCCGCCCCCGCCGCGCACGGCCGCCCGCCCCCGAGCCCGCGCCGGCCCTCCGTGACACAGCACTACCCCTGGCCGCCGACCTCCGCGTCGCCGTCCCCGCGCCACCACCCGCGTCAGCGCCACTCGCCCCGCCAGTCGCCACCCCCGCCCCAGGGCGCCGCCGGCCCGCTCACGGGCGCGTACCGGCCCTGCGGCCAGGCGCCCGCCACCCGCGCCCCAGGCGACTCCATGTGCACCACGGCCTGAGGGAGCACAAAACTCAACGTATATTCTAGTCAAGAAAGGCTCCTGTACTTATTACGCCAGAGAACTGATACTGAGGTCTGAAAGGAGGTTGATCTAATCTCATACTGTAATTAGACTGTTTTGCTTATTGTGTATTTGTACCAGCAGCAAAACCATCAGACATTTTTGGGTCGATGAAGTGTACAGTGGGGAACTAGTTTATATGGAAAAAGTTAATTTGCATGTGTAGTGATGTATGTACTGCCACACCAAATGCAGTATCTAAAACAAGCCAAGGGACAAAGGGACGTGTTTCTTGTGTTCTCCTTTGTGAGGATTTAGAATCTTTTTGTCTCAATTTATGATTGTAATTTTCAATTGTCACCACAAAAACAAACTAGATTATGGCTTTTTGTCGCAAACCAAACACTGTATTTTACCAGAAATAATTGAGGTAAAAAGTATTTAGCCTGGGTATTTTTATTGTTGAAAGTAAAGTATTATTTCCCAAGTCCCTCCAGATTTCATTTAGTGGAATGACCACAAACTCAATTTCAAATGGTGCCAAATATTGTTTCCATGCCGATCAGGATATCACTGTGCTAAATAATGCATTTACTGCTCATGTAATGAACTGTACATGCTTTTTATGAGCTGAAATTTGTATAAAAATTGTATAAATACACACAATTGTTTTTGTAAGTTTCCTCTCCATCTATGAATGGTCCCTGTGGACCATTGGCAAACCAGGCCACGGAGAAACTCGAGTGGTTTAGCTAACACAGGAAGAATAATAGTGAGTAGATCATAACAGTCCCTGATGGGTGAAGCTCTTACCCACACTACCGAGATGATCTAACGGCGACCAATCAGGAACGTTTGTGCTCTACCCGTCATTCTTCCTCCTCTGTTTGCTCAACCACACTATTTTGTTCTTACTTGTGTATAATGTGTTTTTAAGTATACCGCCCCCCAAAACAAGCAAACGAAATAACTTCACACACGAAATACATCAATAGAAACCATAGAAACAAAAAACTACCCCTAACCACCCCTGCCCCTCTCCCAAACAGAAATTGTTGGAGCTATGAAACAAACAGAATGTGTCCATGGAACCTCCTTACCTTTACATTATAATAGAGTGGCCAGCCAGCGCCCCTTCATACCCGTCGTCCCGCTCGGCTTAGTCACGCAGCACGTGGCAGAGGTGCAAAATTGGTGCAGCGCAAAAGAGAAGGTGTGCTCCCTAACACTATTTAGTTGTCCCGTGGCGACGCTGATGATAGCGCCTGCAACGCGTTGGGTAGGCCAGCCCGCCAAGCAGTTGTGTGGAGGCGGCGGCCTGCCTTGAGGTACATCGGGCGTCTGAGAGG